AAAAAAAAAAAAAAAAAAAAGGAAAAAGAGCTGTTTGAAGGCAAATGCTGTTATATTTTCGTATAGCTGAAAAAGGTTGGCACGAAAATAGTGCACTCGAATTTCAAAGATACTTCTACTTGTTTCAAAATTCAAGCTGTTTACTGCGGCAAGATCAAAAAAAGTGCATTGACGAACTGTTGGTTGAAACAGCGGACGAATACAGTCACTGAAATGTATAATTTACTGGAAAGCCGCAACCAGAAGGTTGGTGAACAGCTGAAAGAATAGTACAGGCTCGACTTATCTTTTTTGTCAAACATCAAAATAGCAAGAGCGCTTGTTACTTCTGATGGTATCGGGTGTTATCATATTGCCGAAAGAGACGTGTTTTAGTGAGACAGCGCAGGAAGGAAGTCTAGGGAACCGGTGTTGACCAGCGTGATCAAAACAAATTATTCAACTTGATTACTTCTGACAACTGACAGTCATTGTTTTACAAACTTAAACTGGTTTTATATACACACTGCGAAGACGTTGTTTAACCTAAATAAAGATTTATTTATTCCTTTTTTTTTGAATTTACTACATCTGTCAAAAAGCTTTTGATCCTTTTGTTTGAATAGTTAAACTGGACGAACGCAAGCATATTTTATTGAATAAAAAACTCTAAAGTCATTGAATTTTGTAATTTTGAAAGAAAATGCGTTCAAATTTTGTAACATTTTTATGTCAGACGAGTAACATTCAGCTACCTCTGGATACTTTGACGTGTTTTTTATTCATTCATTAATGATTTCAAAGGCTGTAGTTGATGATTCGTAAATGAATCATTCTTGAAAAAAAAAAAGGAAAAGAGAGAATTACTTCTACATTTCCTGATACTTCTTGACGTTTGTTGAAAATACACATGAATAAATACACATGCCAACATACAAACAGAAGTTATTGAAGTTTTTTTATTTAAATGAAAATGAAAGGAGGGATAAAATTAAAGCAAGAAAAGGTCGTGTTGGATAAGAAGAATTCAGTTGCAAATTAGCAGTCTCACAAATATGTTTGATTTTTCGCAGAGCTATAACTTATCATTATCACTGCTATTACTATCAATACTATTATTATTAATATTACTACTACTTTTACTTTTACTATTATTATTATCTAGTATCGTTGTTATTATTGAGTGTTGGCGTCAGTATTGCTGTCGTTTTTTTTCATCTCATTTTAAACTTTTGGAGCAAGTTTTTTCAGAAAAAAAAAAGTAATTTAACTAAAGTTGAAGAACAAGTAAAGTAGAACAGAGTTTGTTGTGCGAGATTTACTGACTGCAGAAACGACACACGTATGATATTACCCGAAAGCAACAACTTTATAAACTTAAGTTTCCAGCCGATGGTAAAAGTTACATGGTGGTGACGAAAAATGATACAAATAGAAACAGTGAAGTGAAAATGTTAAAGAATTTTTGTTCTCAAAACCAACGATTCAGTTATTGAAGTTGTCTTACGGGATACTGAAAGTTTTTACCGGACGCCAAATAAACAAATGGAATCGAAAAACTGCTGCAGACTAAACAGTACGTATTACACCTGTATCGCAGCCAAAATGAACCACGTTTTTAGCATATGAGAAATAACGCGGAAAAAAAGCCAATTATACCTAGCAACAGACGAGATCTCATTCCTCGTCATCAATGCTTTTTGAAAATTAAAATTTATGTAACCCTTTTGTAAAGGCAATATTACTGTCCAAATCAAAATGTTTCTTTTTTCAAAGGTGCGCATTAATTGGAATTAGTGTCCAGAACAAGTTTAAGGTACTCTGTCAGGTCTTTTCTGTGTTTCATTTTTCCGCCAGCACCGGTAGCGTAGTGCCCAAGGAATTCCCAAATCCTGATCATTGGCCACCAAGGAACGTGTCTTTTTCTTTCGGTTGCCTCTCTTAGAACCTAAATTATTCTTAACCGATGACTTACCGATATGCTCCTCTTGTTCATACAGGTTACTGTCATTGAAGGCGGTTAGCTATTCCATGCTTTCTGTGTTTTTTAAAATCTCTGTTTGCTATTTTCTTTTGCCGCTGCAGTGCCTAATTTCACAATGGAGAACAGAAACTGCATTAAAAGAACTCCACTTCTTCGTGCTGATAAAACCAAGCACTAAAATAGTACCATAGTTACATTGAAAAGAAGAAAAAAAAAATAAGGAACTGAGCCGTACTTTAAAAGGCAGAGCAAAGACCTTCAATTTCTCATAAGCAAAACTGTCTTAAAAGAGACAAAATTTTTATATGAAGTTTATATGAACCGCTGGTTTAGAAAAAATGATACGATTTCCGTTTCATTTTTTTATAGTTTCTGAAACTGCGTTGTGACCTACCGTGTAATACTTATATTAATCAAAACTTGGACCCTTGAAATAGCCTTATAAAGACGTTGACGTCATAAGCTTCGCGATCAGTTCCCTTCTCTTTCACCACTGTACATTGGCTATGCCGCTGGCAATTAGCGGCATCTAATTACGGCTGAAAACTATCAAAGCAGCAGTTACTGTAGTTCGGGATAACGAACATAATCTGCAACCGGCGATCTACAAGGATCTCCTCGACTGGTCGAGCATTGTTAGTCAACCAGCATTTGAATTTCCCTATCGGCTTAGTGCGGCTGTACAGTTGCTTCCGGTCAGTTTAAAGTTCGCTAACTTTTCTGATGGTTTTGTTTTTGCCTGTTACCGTAGCTTTGATGCGCAGTATTGTTGTCGCTTTTAACAGCACTTAACAGTTTCCTACACATCACTGATCAGTTTCTTTTTTTGGCAATCCCAAACTTTTCACTGAAATATGGTGGGGATTGAGTTCGACGGAGATTTCTAGTCCAGCGAACATTAACGAAGAATCCTACTTTCTGTTGGTTAGTCACAAGTAAATTTGCTTGTTTAGGCACTTTCGTTCGAAATCATTTCGGTAATATGCTTGAAATACCATTGCTGGGTAGATTTTTGGACTCGACTTCTTCTAACGGCTTAGACGATTTGGTGGATCGGGCTCATTCTGAGTTTACTGTATGGATATTAGTCTTGTTTGCAATGTTTGTCGGAGGTAAACAGCACTTTGGTCAGCCGATTCAGTGTATGCTGCCTGGACATATGGATCGTATGTTCTACAGATTTTAAGTTTCAAGCATTTTTTGTCGCAAACTCTAATTTTCTTTGACATTCAGCTTCAAAAAATGTTTCACGTAAGGATTCCCTTCCAGGTTGGAGTTCTTATGGACAAGATTACTGCTTTGTTACCAATACTTATCGGTTACCTACCAACAGCACTGTGCCGAACGCTGCTGTACGTTCACAGCTCAAGAAGGAGGAAGGAGTGACCCTCACTTACTATCAGGTATTGATTTTAACAGTTTGAATTGACTGGGAATTACATGTTTTATTGCGTAATTAAGTAAGGAAGTACGGTTTCCGAAGGATTCATGGTTTTTTTTCTTGTTTGAAATTTTCAACTCTGCAAAGCTTTGACTTCTGATTGTTGGGATTGCCTATTTAATGGAGTTACTGAATTTTTTCAAGTGGGTTCCTTACTTTCTGGTTATTCAAGCATTCTGCTTCTATCTTCCGAATTGGATCTGGCGTCTCCTTCAGTCATACAGTTGTTAGTCTACCATTTTTTACTTCCTCTCCTATAATTTCTAATAATTAGCTTTCGTGTTTGGAACAGGTATATTTACCCCGATTATAGCCGCATTTTTTAGTCATATATTTATTGGAAATAAATTAAGAAGTTTCTCCTTCTTTCAAATTATATGTTAAAATGTTGCTGCTCCGCACTGGAGCTAGGGGAACTAATTTTATCTACTTTTAGATGTAGACATGCAGGCCGTAGTTAGCGAGGCTACAGCAATACGTGGTGAAATGAAAGTAGAGAAACGACGGGAAAGGGTTTCAAAACTGGTCGACTTTTTATTTGCTTCTCTCACACTTCATGTAGGCTTGCGGGAGAAGGTATGGCTATGTGGCTCCTGCTAAGCGCATTTTTCTCTATTCTGTTTTCATTTGCTGCCTGTAGTTGTGTAGCTATTGATAATATTTTATTATTCCTACTTTTAGGAACGTTGGCCTGCATATTGGACGGTTATTTACCTTTTTTCAAAAGTGTTAGGGATTATAAATGATATCGGTCAATTGTACTTGATTGCATACTTTCTTGGAATAAAGAATGTTGATTGGGCATTACATGTTAGTGTTTAATCAGCAGTTTATAATTTACAGTCGTGGACTTAAAATGCAAAGGCATTATTGGCATCTGAGTTTTTTTTAGGTTTTCTGGCTTGCAAAATTGGTTTTATGTATATCTATTCCAGGTTTTTTTTTTTCCGGTTTAAAGAACAGTTGCAACATTGACTTATGGGAACGTTTTAATTCCAGCCGTTTTTGCTGTCTCAAAGGGTTTCGCGAGAAGGTTATAACTTTACTGCAAGTCACTTTCCTCGAGTAACATTTTGCGACTTTTATAAGAGCGAGCAGGGCAGGGTTCAGTCATATACTTTCCAGTGCGTTGTGATGTTAAACGTTATCAATGAGAAAATATTCTTATTTCTTTTTTACTGGATTGTGGTCGTAAGTTTTGCCTCTTCCGGTTTTATTTTGTATGCTTCGTTTTATACGATTGTCATCAAGCAACAAGCAATATTTATTCAGAAAGTTTTACCACTTTAGTTTTTTGTTATTTCAGACCAAAAGAGCTATTTCTGTTGCTCACTTTTGTGATAATTGTTTTGGCATCCAATTTTATGCTTTTTCTAAGTCATTTTTAAATTTAGCTTATTGTGATTTCAATTGGGAATGTCATTTTTGTGGTAGTAAAGGTATTTTTCCATCGAAAGACGTCGTTAAAGTTTTACATCCAGGTAAAGTTTATTTCTCGACATTTCTTTCAAATCTTTGTTGCTCGTGCAGTACTGTCACGGATGTCCCGACCTTTAATACTGTTATGAACTTTGTTTGCTAATTATTTTTCTTCCAGAGTGCTGGTGATAATGAGCACGACTTTTATTTAAACACTGATAAAGTACAGCTGATCGAGTTTGTGAATAATGTGAGCACATGGTTACATTTCTTTCACTTGATTTTCGTGAAACATAATTTTTTCGACACGGGAATCGTCTTGGCCAACTTTTATAGGTTTTCCAATATGACGGTATCTTGCTTCTACACTTCTTGAACTCACATGCAGGTGCTATTGTGACTCGTGATATTGTTAATGGTCTTTGGAGGCTATTTACTAGTAATTTCATGGTAAGTGAAGTTTCTCTTGGGGGCGATGGCTTTCTTCCACCTGCTTTCAATGAATCCCGAATTCTTAATTCCATGAATTTTGTCACTTCCATACTTGATCTTTTCTTGCAGGCAGCGAAGTCATTTGGGCCGAATAATGTTCAGCCACCAAGTAGTGCGAGTGCTTTGAAAACGAAAGACCAGAAGGACATTCCTTACATAAACAGTAAAACTTCAACTTTTTCCTAATAATTACAAGTTTTATAAGAAGCAGTTACAGGTGTAAAAAGCTTAGAGTAAGATAGTAGGTCATTTGCGCTGTTAAATTAGATGTTTAAAAACTTTGTAACTTATAATTCCCAAAAACATTTTGCTTATTTTTTTCTGGCGAATTATTTAACAACTTTAAGGGATGTGTGGGTGAAGTTTGCATTTTCGTAACCCTTTTTACGCCGTGTATGGCGCTTTTAGGCAAAGGACTTTTGGCTTGCCACCTAGAACCAATTGTTTTTGACTATATCTCTTATACTGAAGGGTTTTCCAGATTACCGTAGAACGTCTCAACCAGCTGTAGAGACCAGCATATCATTCATGTAGTAGTTTGATCGAGGGTTCAGTTTCATTCAAATAAACTGTCAGATTGCAAACCGGAATTTTTCGACGAATTTTTTACTGACCTGTTGGTTTTTATAGTCGTAGCATAAACGCGCTTCGAGTCTGTTTTGAGTACTTAATTTACCCTTCGCATTGGCATGTTGTAAATTGAGATTCAAAAAAGTTGGTGAATTTTTTATGTGAGCAGTGTTATTCTGTTGTGCATCATTTTTTTCTGCAGAGGGGATAATAACCAAAAATTACAGTTTTTCTTCTGCCTCGAAGTCTAGAGTTGTGTCATTAATAGTATAGCTGGGAAGAAACTGCTCTGGATTCACTGTGTTTTGCCCAACTAAAGCGGTTAAACATTTTTCTAATTTCTGCACCTAGAAAGCGCTCTTCGAAGTGACTTATGTTCGATTAGGTGCGTCGTTTCCATTCAAGGCTGCTATATAAACGTTTGAACAGTTGTGACGTAATAAATATATTATTTATGAGGATCCCTCAATATTTTTGGTTTTACGGTTATGGTTGCTCTACAGGCATTTCAAGTGCTGATTTTGCTGCAAACACTAGTCGGTTGAAGTTTCACGTCTCGGAGGCATCTCTAAAAATGTGCTATAATGAGGACTTCAAGTCGGTTACATAACTGGTCATCTGTTTATATTTGTCTTGTATTGGTTGTCAATTGCAAAGTATGTTTGCGTGCATCTGATGGTTGCTGGGATTGCGATGGATAGTGTCCTGAAGACTGAGAGATCGGGGGAGTTTGGATCTATCTCACTGTGGGGAGTTGTGGGTTATGAAGGTGTTTTGAAATATTTACCTCACAAGTTTGGAAAATTTGATGTTGTGGCGTCTGGTTGTTGTGCGCAACTTGCGTGTTTCCTGTTGTGGGGACGTCTGTCCAGTCTTCTGGGAGGAACAGATGTTGTTTTGGGATTGCATATAGAAGACAATAGACACGGCGTCATCCTGTAAACTTTTAGTTGTTTGAATATGAAGTAATCCTGTTTAAAAAGATTTGGTAGGAACTAATTTTATATGGGGAGAGGAAGGTGGAAGCTTATCTGACTGGTTCTTAATGGTCTTCAGGGAATTAAGTGATTCAGTTATGCAACAACTTGCTGAAGTTCAGCTTGTAGGCGGCGTGGGCTGGCGACGTTTCAACTGACGGAAGAATTAGCAAGCAGATATCATTTTTCCTACCCAAGAAATGACGAGGAATTAGAAACAAAGGGAGGATCTCGGACCTGAAAAAGGAAGCAAAACTAGGGTACGCAAAGCTGATGTCGTCGGGCGCAGTTCTCTACTCTTTATTTGGATTTCCATTCTTTGATTTGCATTGTATCGTACATTATTGTTTGCCTGTTACTGCTGTTGATTTGCTACATAATATTTTGATGCTTCAGATATCTGGAACATGGTACTTAGGCTTTAGGTTGCATTTTTGAGTTGGGATTTGCGATTTAGTTGAGTGGAGTAGCAGTTTCACGTAGGTGTTTTTCCAGAAATTCTAAATTATTGATGTGGGTAAGTTGTCGGGAACTTATAATATAGTGGTTTAGTTTACGTTCATTTGATAGCTAGTCGTTGGTTGAGTGGTATTTTTGTTTTTAATAATAAGTATAACTAAAAAATGTTTGTATTTATGAAAAGAAGGTCTCTCTTCAGTCGTGAAGTCTCTTTAGAGGTCTGTTAAGGCGTGACAAGAATTTAGAGTGCTTTTTTTGGCGGTCGTTGTCTTCAGAACAACTTTGAAAACGGTAATTTCATGGCTTTAAGCAGAGCGAAAATAGCGATGAAGTATGTTTCTAAGATGACGTCACGTCCATCTATTGTTTCAGAAGCCTTTTATTTTTAGAAACGAAGCTGGTGGGTTGAAATTATTTATTTTTTTCTTTCAAATAACTTGATCAAAACTTTTTGAGAACAATTCTTTGAAGCTACCGTAAAAATCGCTAATTGTTTACCAACATGACGACACCTTGGACATTGCTCTGAGTTAGAGCTTAGCAGATCTGCGGTTGGGTGACCTGCTTCAGGCGCTTTATGTAGTCTAATTTTACGGCATCATGAGTTAGTTATCAAGATGTTTAAGTTTTTAAAAAACCAATATTCGGTGGAGAAGTAGGCTGGGAACGAAAGCGAGTAAGACAAGATTTCATTTCCGGACTTTTCAGTTTTGTCCTGTCCAAGCGGAAATTGTCTATATGTCAGCCTAATGTGAGAAGGCTGAACTGTTTGTGAGTTACCTGAAGAAGTAAATGGTAAGTGGTCTATGAACCGCTTATTACTCTTGTTAATAATTGTTAACTTGTGATACCAGTTGTCTTCTATACAGATAGTTTGGCGAAATGCACTTACTTTTATAATTTTAAGGGTTAATGATGTTCTTTGTCACCAATTGTTTTGTTCAGTATCTTGACAGGATATGGTTCTTCGCTATAGCAATTCACTAGACGGTATATGACATTGTCTAGATGTTGCTGCTCTTTTGATGCTTGCTTCTGTATGATGTCTTGCACAAGGTTTCTTAGGTGCATTTGATGGCTTGGTGATCACTTCATAGACATCTTTAAGAAGAATAATTCGTTTTTAATTTTACAATAAATATAATTTTTGATGTAGATGTCAGGATATTCTAGTTTTGAGACCAAGGTCAAGGTCTGGGTTTCACTCTTTGAATTTTTTTTTCTCCACAATTGAAGTATTCCTGAGTGTTAAAAATTATGACTTGAGCAAAAGGGGGCAGGAATTTGCGGCGCTGAATGGCAAGAGATTAGGAATTGATCATTAAATAATCCCGCTGCCTTTTTTGAGGAACTTTGAAGAGTTTAAAATGTTTTTTTTTACTGCACATATTTTTAAAGTTATTAGAAGTTAAGGGCGGCGTTGGTTGAAAAACAAGCTCGCAGCAGCAGCTGTCGTGTAGAAACATTTATTTTGAGCCTCAGTTTTTTTAAAGTTTAGTTTTTTTTAAAAATCTTGCGTCATGATTACTAGTGGCGTTTTGTGCTCAGTTTAGAAAAAAAGGTTTATTTTCAGGGGTATATATTTACAGATATTTCAAATGTACAGAGAAGCTAAACTGGAGCTTAACAATGAGAATAATGGAAATTCCTCATCTTGTCTCTTACGATTTTTGATTCGTGCAATTGTATATCGATTTCTGTAATTATGAAACCGTACATTCATTGACGGTCACTGAAACACGGGTTGATAGGAGTGCTAAAGGTCGGATAGAAGCCGGGCAACACCTGAGAATGTTAAAATGAAAATAGCTCTTGAAGCATGTTTGAAGGGGCGTTTATAGTTGCAGCATAAAGTTGGGGAATCTGTAATGTTATTTTTTTTTTAGGAAAATAAACCAATGAGAAATAGAAAATT